GATCCAGGCTTCTCTCATATTGAATTTATAGTGGGATTTTTGTTGAAATCAACTTATATTTTGTCATTACAGTCTACTACATTAATTATATTTATACTTAGTAAGTTTTGCTACTATCTGCATATCCTGAATAAAATCTGTATTCCCTCAGATCCTAAAAGGAATTCTAATAGTGTGAATTCTGGTGAATGCGTAATCATACTGAACCTTAAAAATTAATTATAATGGAAATACTGATATATACACTGGTTTATTCAAATGGATTTTTGCCGATACTTCTGTAGAGGCTTTTTATCTTGCGATTTACATTGATAAGTTTAATTTACTGTCTAATATCCTTATGAATTCCTATCCTTACTATCAAAATTTTCCCACATATTTTTATCTCTCATGCTATATTATCTCCTAAATATAGCCCTAAATAGTATTTCTTGGCCTGTGATCTTGTCAGTTGGCTTTTTATCTGTATTTGCCAGTTCCTGGAATTGTTGACTTTAATTTTACCTTCTTAAAAGTATATCTCTAAAGTGTCCTCATATCCTGTAATCGTCGTCTATCTTGATTTACTAGTATGGCCACATTCAACTCATTTATCATTTTCTCTTATACACAATCCTCCAGGCGCAAATACTGCTTCTACTAGCCCCTGTGCTGGTATGGAAAGTGGCACACACATTGTGCTTGAGGACGACTCTGAGGTGCATGTTTCACCCAACCTCGGTCTCATAGATCCCTTAGTCTCCAGTACCCACCATTATCCTCATCATCCATCAGCCTCCACTTTGCATCTAGCAGACGACAACATTGTTGATTCTACTGTTGATTCTCCAACGGTTATCTCCAGCACCAGCAGTACACCAACTCTGCCACTCTCGACTACTGGCTCTCGTCCTTCTGGAATTTCCTCTTCTGATCCAAATATCCAACAAATACGGCAGCAGCAGCTATCACAACAGATTTACACCGATCAGGTTGGAGCAGTCGCTGGTGCCTCGTTCAATGTTGTATCGACACCTCCATTAGGAGAGACATCAAAAACCAGCCCTGGTCAGTTGGCTACTCTGCCCATCGTTACGGCCTCTTTTGTATCCTCTATCAGCACGTCATCTCCCTCATTCTCTTCTTCCTCTGCTTCTTCTTCGACCTCATCTAATAATAGCCGGACAACGAGAGCAGCTTCCGCTGCAGCTGCTGCTGCAGCCGCCAAGACTTCCTCGGCCTCATCTGCTTCATCCATTTCTTCGGCCTCTTCCTCCTAGACTCTCTCTTTTCCGACCCGGAAGCAACCTCGCTTCCCTATCTATGTCCTATCGTCGAAGTTAAATTTATCTTCTTTTGTGACTCATAAGACTTAGCTAATTTCTTTAAATTAACTTTGTTGTCGCTTATCTCGCTTTATAAATCATTCGCTCTTTCCATTTTAAAACGGCTGTTCTTCGTTCTTCATTTGTCTTTTATTCTGTTGGCTTGGAATTCACTTTACCAATATTTTCAAAATTTCTATTTCCTTCTTTCTAGCCGTACGTTTCAAAATTATGGTATCTGTCGCTTGTAAATTTGTCCCTTTAGTGCGACCAATATTTGATATATCACCATATTCTATTACGTATTTACACGTATTCACTTTACTTCTATGAATAGATCTCAAGCTTTAGCCTTCTCCCTATTTATTTTAGCTATATTTTTTTCAAAAAAATATATCGCATTTATCCATGCTACATTCGCACTTATTTCATCTTTACCCTAAAACCTCTCAGCAACTTTGTTTAATTGTCTCTTCTAAAGCTGATGATCATAGAGGTATATATCAATGCAAAAATTATCGTCGCCCTATCCCATGTTTTTAAAGTAATTTTCTCAGGAGTTTGTCTGTGTTTTTACGGCTGCTTTGATCTTTGATAACGATTTGCTCTTGTTATTTGGTGTCCAGAAGCAGAAGGATACTCCTTTTTATCTGTATAAATTTTCATTTTTAAAGGTCACTCTTTTTTTGGACCAGTACTTGTTAATACATAAATTATATATTTACTATAATCTAATTTTTATGCATGTGGATCTCTGCCAGCATGTCATGCATATCGTACTTGTACATTACCACTTACTGTTCTATCCTTCTCCGCTACTTGCATTGAAATATGCTATTTCGCGGTGCCATTAACGCATGTTTTATAATTTAACTCTACTTCTCTTCGTTCTTTATTGCTATTACGTTAAATTGTTCATTTTTATCTGGTAACGCTGGCCTGGATAGGAACTCCCTTTTTTAGCTAGTTGAGTTAACGGCCTTCCTTTTGGCCTGGCTTTATATATTACTATTCTAAGCATATTTATTGGGATCTTGTGCCATAAGTACAGTCAACCTTTAGATTAGTTCACCCAGGATTTTATGTTATATGAGGTGAAGTGTTTGCTTCTTAACCTTCACATTCAAGCTTCGAAAACGATTGTGGCTTCCGATGTCTACACTAAAGTCCAACCTCGATGGAAATGGCCTTTTGGGATGTAAGGGTTGGTAAAATTTAATTCATGATTAAACTTTTCTCTTAATTTCATTGTGGATAGCTTCGGTATCGGCTCTCTAACATAATGCATGGTACTCTCGGGATTCGGATACAAAACATCAAATACTCGGTGTGAGACACTGTTTCCGATGCCTGATTCACTTTTTTAAGGAGGATTCTTATTCGCACCAGTTTTTGATGATGCTAACAAAATCGGCTATCATGCCTCGGTATATTTGTAACATTTGCTATTTGGACTTATTTATTTTACAAGACCGAGTTGCGACACCGAGTTCAACCCACTTGTATAAATCGAAAGGTACTGCGACCATACCAGAGGCCACACCGTCTTGGTCTTCTTTTCTTTTATCAGTTATTTTACTTTTTTGATTTAGAAATAGCCATTGTGTTCAGAATGGAAGCTAGGCGAAATAATATTAGAAAGGAAATCTTTGATAATGATTTAGGCGCTCTCAAATTAAATTCTTGCGAAGGGAAATTATAATTCGGAACAGCGAAAACGACTCCAGACTATTACTGGTCGAGGATCAGCATCACTCGATTTTGCAAGTGAATGTTGGTAGTTTTAATTCCTCAAGAGAGTTAATGAGAGCTAACAATAACATTGTATTGCTATGTCCTGTAAGTTGACTTAACAAAAAAGAGCTTCTCTGATGCAAGTTAATTCTTATAAAACCTGGTGAGGCTTCGCAGCTTTATAATATCCAAGCCACTAATACAATTAGAATTTACATTGATCCCCTTCTTGGCTAACTAATATAGGACCCCTACTTCGCTATAGGCGGTCTTCCCTTTGGTTAAGACACCTAAAATTTGCACCTGGGGCTCTAAACTACTTCGCCTCTGGACTGATTAATTTTCTCCGAACTTTCACACCCATCCTAGCTCTTATTTCCTGCCGTAGAGTTATCCTTTCTATTTCAGCAAAGACTCGCCATTTACCTTAAATAGCTCTAATACTTTGCTTCCAACATGGCTTGGTTATTAAAATCGCACCCATTCATCTCTTATATTTTTTGAAATAATTAAATGTTGAAATCTTTGTTAATAACTTAAATATCCTAGATCGCTTAAGGTAATTTAGGGACTAAGTGTTGAATCCCACAATTATATGGACAGGCCTCAGGATGCTATTGAATTTCACTTAGACTAGCTTATTACATCCAGACTGGATTACAC